CAAATTCAAATACAGCTTTTAGTCATCCAGTTTCAACTGTATCTGAAACACATATACCAAAAGTAAAAAATATTCTTTTTCGTTTATCATAGTTTAACGAAATCATATTTCAATCGAATTTCAGTTAGTTATATTAAGTCGTTCATCAGCTGATCTCAATGCTATTAAAGCAGCACAATGTCGAAATCTTGTTGAACATTTACCATTAGTTAATTATAATGAAAAAACTATTAAACAAACAGAGTAATTATTAATAATAGAAAAAAAAACTCAATCATTTAAAATAGAACAAATATCTGATTCATAATTTTATTTTTCTTAAGATGTGATATTTGTTTAATGGATTTTATGCCTAATGAACAAGTACGACAATTGCCATGTGATGGTGCACATGTATTTCATCCAATATGTATAGATCGTTGGTTTCAAAAAAGTTTAACATGTCCACATTGTTCAATAAATGTTGATGCTGCATTACTTCTAAGGTTTATTCCAAATTCAAACAATAACGATGATGATGATGATTGATAATTCTTATTCAAGAGAACTTTTGCATAGTATAATTAAACCAAATATGCAATAGATGTTTCAGTCAAGTAAAGACTCATCCGCATTTTTATTGTTGTTGTTGAGTTCTTTTAGGTCACTTATATGTATGTGCACATCGAAAGAGAAGGAGAGTGAGAGAGAAAAAAGACAAAATTTCCGTTGTCTGTTGACTCTTGTGATAGCATTATGCGTGACATTTTTCTTTGTATTTTAAGACTTACATCTGTAGGTTTATTCTTTTTTTCTAAATAATAAATACAGAATGTCCTATCCGATGGACTAAATAAAAATTTTTTTTTTAATCTAATTTTGATTTATTTCAAATAATTATATGTTGTGTCTGTAAATAACACTTCAGTTAGTTTGGTATGTTTCGAAATTCTTTTCGATTCACCTTGTCTCATTGTGTCTATTGACATAGAAGATTATTCTCGTCTATACGAAGAAAAACTGAGTGTTTTTAAAAGGTGAGAAATGCAAATGAATAATTTATTGCAATTTTGTCATTTTACATAATACTTTGATGTTATGATCAAGAACAAAAAAAAGAAAAAAAAAACATGTCTTGGGATGGTTGTTATCATGCCGGATAATATGTCGTGAAACATTTTTTTATCATATGATAAATATTGAATATTGGAAGAAAACAGAAGTTGAATATCAATCAAGTTTTGGACAAGTTTAGTAACAGAACTTTTATTAATGATTGTAATATATATATATATATATCCACTGTAGCAAATCTCAATAAGTTTGAAATTTATGATGGCGCTTAAAATTGATCATAAATCTAACCGACCGAGGTGCGATTTTCATAAAAATGTAGCCTCATTTTTATAGTTTATCGAGTCAAAATACCAGCTATCTGTGCCATACATATTTATTCTGCTGGACTAGAAATTTTACGAAATGATCTGATTCGATTTCGTTACAAAATTGATTATACATCAATACAAAATGGTTGAATATTGTACTTCGCATTTAATCCTTTTCAACTAGAAGACATGTTTTAAAATGTGTTCTAACGAGGTTTCACTTCATTATCATAAATGTAACTTCTATGTCACAAGGATAATATACGAGGTTTTTAATCTTCCTATGTCCTTATATTTTCGCATGTGGTGTATGCTCAATTATGTAGCAACATCGAAGCACATCATTTTTGGTATTTTCAGTCGGAAAGAATAAATAAGTGACACAGACAGCTGATGATATTAAAAAAAAAAGATGATCGATTAAATATATGACTAATTTTGAGCACCATTGTATGTAGATTGATCAAAAAAAAATGTTTTGAATATATTGCTAGACCTTAAATTTAAATATCGTTTTCAATAATAATATGTATTGACTCTAGTGAATAATAGATTGTTATAGAGGACGTAGGAATACTTTTTTTTTTCTATAATATGATTTCTGTAATGAATAATAAGAAATATAAGTAGGCGTAAGACTTAGTGTTGTGATTGTTAATATTTGATGAATAATAATCTCGAGAGAGAGAGAGAGAGAAAGAGAAAGAAGTTGCCAGGTGAATTTCCAAGAAAAACAATTTATTAATTCATGTTGTAGTTATTAATCATTTCTTTGTCATGTATGCAAGTATTGTTGTTTCATTCCTGTATTTAAATCCATTAATAATAGATTATACCTTATAAAATTACCAATGTCTGGTCTTGTGCTTCAACATTTCTTAATTAAATTCTTATTTGTTATCTTTCAATATATTGTCAGATTTGTTTGCTTAGTAACATTCAGCTATGTTTAATGACAAACGAAAGTAATAGAGAGACTCTAAGTAAATTTACATTTATAGATTAAAAAAGAAATTTTTGTTTCGAATAATTTTCAGAACAAAATCAAACATTCGATGTATATTAGAAAACAACAATAGAAAAATATGAATTATATGTAAATAGAAATAGTACTAAGTAGAAAATGAGAAATTGCATCATCAATAGAGTTTCTATTGTTTTTAAAAGTGAACCATTCGATAGTAGAGATTTTTCATCATGCGATACTAATACAATTCTTTTTAATTCATCGATCAATTCACAATGAGTTTGTGTTGACTTATACATATATAACAATTAAATGAATGAGTTCTTTTTTTGTTTTGTAGATACTCAATCTAATATATGTTTTTTTTTTGCTAAGTATGCTTATTGAATAATGATCATATGAGTATGAAACGATTGTTGATTATTTCTCTATTTGCTTAGTGTTGCATTTCTTTGTATCTATCTCTTTAAACTAAAGTATTATTTACAGAGTTTTAAAATCATCTGATCAAATTATTTCAACTGTGTGACGGTTCAAAATATGATATCCTATTCATTTAAATACATATAAACTTCGTTTCATCTCTTGAACAAATAGACAGAAATGCTTCAAAAAGAAGAAGAATCGAATAAAACAACAATTCTCTTAAAACTTGCTGGCTTATAATATCTGCTAAATGAAGAAAAACTTTCTATGACATGCAAATAGTCATATGCCATGAACAAGAAAAAATAAACTGGTGTCAAAGATCTTTTCTTCGTCATACGAAACAACTGACGTTTAATTGACCATACAAATACAATAAAACATCTCTTGAATGAACACCGTAGGGGGCTTTCGAAAAAGTATTCAGTATTAAGAGGTGTTCATGTATAGAAGATGTCCTATATATTTACTACGAAATGAAATTAAATAGTTTTAGAATATAAACTTCTTTAGTAGTTTTGAAATAATCTGTGACTATTCTTCGTGTTACTTCTCTTCTTCTGCATTTAAATATTTATGAATAGAAAAATTATTTAACAGAATACAAAATGTTGCTTTGTTTCGATCAAATCTTTTGAATTTTTATTTAATACGTAAATTTTGGTTTGTTTGATAATCATTTAAATATTCTTTTTTGTTTTCATTTTAAAATAAAACATTGAATACATAACAAAGTGAAATATTCGATTTTTAGCCAAATCACATTATGATTAGCTATTATCCCTATGATTATCATTGATTAATTGAATTTTTTCATTTAATATAATAAGATGGTGTTACAATCTCGCTGCTTTCCTTGATATATACAATTTTAACAAACCGTTAACAACAGTTTTAGTGCATTCGCCAGAAATAATGCAGAGGAGAAAGAGAAAAAAATTACACGTATGCTCATTAAAAAGAAGTTAAATCAGCAATCAGAACTGTAAAAACAATGTTCAAGTCCCGAATACAGGAGGTGTTCCATGTACTATCATGAAAATGAAACAAATTCACTTCCTTGTTATTGTCACCGACAGGATGAATAGCAACAATAAAATGATGAATAGAGCAGAAATATAACAAAGCAAAAAAAAAGAAAAAACACAACTTTTGTTTACTCATTGATCTCATCAGTTGTAATTATAGGTCTTCACTTTTAAGCTGCCATATTCAATAATGTAAATACTTGATAAGGTTATAAATTCTTTAGACATTTTATTTATAACAGGAAAGAAGCCTAATTAAATATTCATAGACAAACTTATGAAAGTCTTACATAATTTATGAAGGCTTCTTTTTCAGTTATTATAAGTGTAGTAATATCGTTTTTAATGGTTAAAATAGATTGCAAAAAATCACACTTCACCACAATCATCCGACACTCAAATAAAACTCGTTACAATTTTTTTTATCGTGATCATGCAATGATCTAATTCAAAAAATTTTCTTTTGAACTTGAATGAATTCATAAAACGAAAACATATTAAAAAAAAATATCCTCAGGCTATTTCAACTTGAAATATAACGATTTCTTTAATCATAATTCCTCATAATAAAAAAAAAAAACAAGCAAAAAAATGTTTCCAATTATAACCTAGATGTCTATCAGCATATCTAGTTGTCTGCATTTATTTCAAATTATATGTGCATATATCGTATGTAATATACGCCAATGGCCATAAGAAGGAAAATAAACAAACAAAAAAAGGTATAGTGAGAGAGCACACGATAGACAGACATTTAAATCAAACTAAATACTTTAATTCTGAAGGTTTTGTTTTTTGTCTGTCAATAATCATTACCATGATAGTTCAACATAGAAGGGATTATTCATCAATCTATGTGTAGCAGTCAAATGCAATTTGAACAAAAGAAAAGGAAAACAAAGATAAGAATAAGCAAAAAGAGAGTGAGAATACACAACAGGAGACATTTGTCAAACAAGACGAAACGAAAATGACATGTACACATACATACAAGAAAACAGAGAGTATACAAATGGATGTAAAGATGTCATGAATACATACACAGAATCTGACACACCGAGAAGGGGGGTAGATCTCACTGTATCACCAATTAAAATGTTATGTTTATACATGTAAATATTCGAAGAACAGTTTTTTTAAGGCTCTTCGTTCCATCACCACCGGAAGAAAGAAAGAAAAAAAAATAAGATCTACGTATAACACTAATAATAGATCTTATTTTGAAATTGAAAAACATTCTGTCGCTCTTGATGAAGTTAGCACCGATGATGGTGATGGAATTTGTAGAGTTTCATCTCCAAAATTTTCATCACCACTTGTATTATCTGTTGAATCAAAATAAACTGAACTTGGTCCTTAGACAAAAAAAAAACAAAGGATCAAGTTATTATTGTAACTTTTCTTTCTTACTTCGTCTTAAAGGTGAACTTGTACAATCATATGAAATTGATGTACGCATTTCAAGATCTGATTCATTATAATCCGTTTGTTTCTGGATATTATTTAATCGTTTCCGTACTTTATATTTATGATTATTTAAACGGGATAATGATGACGATGTACAATGTTGAAATTGTTTTTTATGACGATTTTTTGGTGATTGTACTAATGGTGAAGAATGAACATCATTCCAGTCCCAATCAAGTGCATCAATTGTATTATTTGTAGGTTTATTATAATATTTTGATACTGATGGTGATACTGATGATTGTGATTTAGAATATTTTTTTGATAACGTATTTAAATCGGTTGCAATATGTTCTAAGTCAGAATAAAAACGACTTGTCTGTTCTAATGCACGTTCTAAACCTTTTTCTGTTGACATACAAGATCGAACATGAGATTCTGTTACTGTTTCTAAAAAGAAACAAAAAAAAAGTTTAAAGAAAAGAAAATGTTTAATTTACTTACGTGTATCTTGAAGTATAACACCACGACTAAGTGCTGTATCAGAATCATATTTTCTTGGTTCTGAATGCAGTAATGTATTTGTATCATTTATTGAATAATTAATTAATGATTCATTTTCATCATAATCATTATCAATAATTGGGTTTGTTATTGTTGTTACATCAGGATTATGTTGTTGACTGTGTGATAATTTAATTGTCGAAATTTCATGACAATCAACACCAGAATCACCAGTTAAAGAATTGGAATGATAAGATTCTTGTAATAAAACACTTGTACCCATTGATGATATTTCTGACCATGTCATTTCGTCAGATAATTGACTTGTTTGATAGTTTTTATTTGGTATTGATATATGATGTTTATCAATAGGTAAACCAAGTAATGGTTCACGATCGGAATCATTTGAATATAGTTGATAATGACATTTATCATTAGCTGTTGTTGTATTAATTCTATCTGGTATTGTTCGTTTTAATGTTGTTGATGAACGTGGGCGTTTTGTATAAGTTACAGTTATTTCATTTCCATTGGAAGATAACGATGAATGTTCTTGACCCATTTGTGAGGTTTTTGCCTAATTGAAATGAAAAAGAAAAAAACAATAAAAGAAACTATTATTTGACCTTATATCATAGAGAATCTAGACATGTTTTAGCTTCATTAGAAGCGGTTAAAATATGGCTTACAACTTACATCACGTATATTGTTTGACAAAGACGATAGTGTATTATTTGAGATTGATGTTGTCGACGATGAAGAAGGAGTGAGAAAATTTGAAATAAGACGATAAAGTATACAACAACCAACACCAATACCAAATCCAATTAAACAACATATTGTTTCATTTCGACGAACTAAAAGTAAAAGTAATCGATTGATATATGCAAATTTTTTAAATAAATATGAACATTTGTAGTGTCTTCTATTCTTTTTATTTTCATATTACATAATTCTCATACAAATAATAATTTCTTGTTTTCATACATCTGCTCTTTTTTCTTTTTCATATATTGAAGATGACACAAGAGATCGATTGATAAATGATCATGGTATCCATTTAACATATCGACAAGAAAAAAAATCAAAGGGCTCAACGTGTGTGTCTACGAATGATCAATAAAAATATTCTTGACTATCTAATTAACTTTCTATCGATGAGATCAGAGGTGTTTCGAGGTCAACAAGATTGGATGAGAGAGGGGGGTACACCACCCTCGTCACTTAGAACACCTCTGGATGTTATATAGTTTTTTTCTTATTAGAAATAAGAATTGAACTTAATCGTTTGACTTTTTAAATTACCCACACTCGAATAATTCTACTGCGCAAACACAAAAAAAAGGTTCGCGACATATGTTACATTCATCATTTTTTAATTTTGAACAACTGGTGCACATACATACATATATATTTTACATTACCTTTATTCCAAATGTTTCGTGGAAGTATGACGACTAAAAATTTTGCCGGTTTAATATAATAATTCAATAAAATTCGTATTGGACGTATGATAAATATATTAGGAATAATAACATAAAGCGGTTCGAAAGAAATAAAATTCCATAATGATAATCTTCTGTTACCACTAATACTTAAATTCATGACCATTAAATCGATCTGATTACTACTTTACTGTGCTCCTATTTCTCAGTACATATGCATATATATATAAATAAGAAACAACTTTTTCTCTTTCTTCTCTCTCTCGCTGCCTTTTGCATATGCACACATATGTTTTGATAGAGAACATATACAGCAGGGTGCCCGCTTTTTCTCTCTTTCCTCTCTTTTTGAACGAATCTATGTCGCGCGAAAGAGAAACGAAAAAAAATAAACGAGAATAAATTTTATAGATAAATTCAAAATGATTGAATGAATATCAGTGTTTATCATATGAAAAAGGCATGAACGTTAATATTCAATGTTGTTAACTGAGCATACCCAGACATAATCGAAAAACATGCTTTTTTTTGTTATTATTAGAGTAATCTATGGAAATAAGTACTGCTCATATTCTTTTTCCAGATGATGATGAACAAATAGATTGACGACCTTTTCTTCATCGACAATGAATAGATAAATAGGATATATATATATACATATACTGTGAGAGGCGTAGTACATTAATCAATATTTTCACAAACTACATATAAGATAACACGTTCGTTCGTTCTTATGCAAGAATCATAGAACGAACCTATCGGATTTAAATATAAGAATGAATACAAAACAAAAATTAATGAAGCTTAGATTACAAATTCGATAATCATAATTGAAACGGTTCTTAAATTTCGAATAATTTTATGTGAATATAAAATTGACCAACAAGTTGTTAGATGTTTACGTCATAACATATGAATGTTGTTGATGATGCTTTTATACACGTAATTGTTTTCTGTATCTACTCAAAACAAGTGGAAAAAAGAAATGTTACATTAGTCAATTTAAAAATTATTCAATCACAGTATTGGCATAAAATGAAACGAAAAAATGATGCTAAATGTAAAAACATTATGTAAACAAATAGGATTTTTCGCATTTTGTTTTGTTTTCTGATATTCACATACATTTATGATTTGCAAGAGGAAGTTAAACTCATAGAATAATCTAACAATATTGTGAGAAAAAAAAAAATAAGTAGTCAATCATCAAGTGACTTTTTATTTTCAATCATTATGTATCAATTATTTCCAGTTTCGGTTGATTATTATTTTATAGATAAGTAAATATTATTTATTTGAATGGAATTGAATTTATATTCTAACTGTCTTTCTGCCAAAGTTTAGCATCATATAAAATGATGTGTTTTAGTTTATGCAAGTATTAGATTAAGAGAGAAAAATATTTTTTTCGTTTGCGAGGAAATGTCTTTTAACACTATGTCTTATTCAATTAAAGATATGAAAGACATCTATTCATACGAATAATGAATATTGATTGAGAGATAATTATAGTTTATGTCGTTCGATGATGGAATAAAACATGACAGGTGCCAAATGTTTTAGTCATCGATAGATTGATCTCATCAAGTTATTTTTAAGAATTTTTTTGTAGAAAAATTAGATGGAAAAACAAATCAAAATTGCAATATATCAAAAATATCTTATCTCGGCACATTAAATATTAGATATTTTTCCTCGTCATATAATTAGAAATGTGCGGCGCCAAATTCTTTGGTGCCAGTCATAATCTCGGCAACTTATGTTCTAGTGATTTCGGTCTCGGAGACCTTAGTTTTTTGAGTCTCGATCCCACATATCTGCATTGCAGATGTTTTGTGAAAAATATTGTTGAGTGAATAGACTTTGATATGCTTGTAAAACACAATAAATATGGATTTGTCTTTGGTTTCCAATAAAAGGAATACCGTATTCAGAATCAACAGAATGATTTCCATGGAAAAGTACTTAAAATGAAATTCGACCTTAGACGAATGACAGATAAGATCGTAAGGATGAAAATAGAACAAAAATTTAGTTTTAAATATTGAGTTTACTTTTCGATGAAAATTTTCTGCTGGTTTTGAATGTGATGTTCTTTTGACTTGCAACTAAGAAACTCATCGTTAAAAACTCTGAACACAAAATTCGTATTTATTGTTTTATCAATACATCGAATAACCTGTTGTTTCTATCACTATGGCGAACAAAATAAAATATTGAATGTATCTAGATTTTGTGTTTTGGATATACTGCAATTTTTTATAGATTTTTCCAACTAATTTTGCTACAAAAACATAAAAGTAACTTGAAAAGACCTATCTAACCATGATAAAAGAAGCTGATACTGAAATTTGAAAAGACAAAAAAAACCCTCATCAGCTTCATACTGATCCATAACTATTACACATAAAGGCAGATAAACAGTGACAATCTTTTTAATTATTGTTTAATTAAAATCGTGAGTTTACCAATCTGAATACATTCTCAATCGGATTAGAAAACTACATGATAAAACTATAGGACAAAAGATTTCATTGTCAGTATAAAAATAAAAGACTATTCTAAGCTAATTGAATATACCGGAAATCATTGAAAAATCAGAAATGAATTTATTCCCCTCGATACAATGTCAATGTACAACGTTGATTAGAGCACTTCAATAATCCTATGAAATCTTGATAGTTATGAGAGAAAAATGATTTGTTTTTGAAGATAATCATGTCATGCAATTATATACTTTTCTATGTAATATCATTGTTTTTGTATGAAGACAAAAATTTTGTTCGTTTTTTTTTTCTACACAACATTCAACACTCTTCTCATTACCATTTTCTAATTTATCTTATTCTATTAGCCTATTCGTACTTATTTACATGTCCGGAAGTCTTGAATAATCTTCATTAAGCGGCAATATTCTTTCCATAAATGAGATGACATAAATCGTATGATTAACGTAAGCATGAGTGACTTTTTTTTCCATATTATGAAAACCATTTTGATAATATTATCCATTTAACATCGTATAATATGTTCTTAATGATCTATTTCTTTTTGTGTTCTGTTTTAAAAATCATAAAACCATAAGCGCCAAAAAGAAGCATCAGTTCATTGGGTACAAAACATAAATTCATAAGAAAACTTCGACAGACAATTTTTAAATCAAATGAATATAAATTTTATAAACATCATCTGTGCTTCTTTCTTTCTTTTCTCAACGATATCAATTACATATTTCTTCTATAGTCATTGATGAAAAGAAAAACATCACCTGTTAGCTATTTACAAAAGATAATATTTAGTTTTTTTTCTTTCTGAGACACAATATCATCGAAAAAATTAAATTTTTATGAATAATCAAAAACAGAAACTATAGGTTATTGTTTTTTTTTGGAATGGAAAAACGATTATTTGTAGATATATATAACTAGAAAGACAGACATCGATGATTGCCAAAATCATTTGGACAATCATCAATTGGTTTCTTATAATTATTAACGCAAATACATAATGAAGTTTTTTCTATTCTTAAAAAATCAAATCATATATGTATAATTAACATAGATAGATTCAATGAAAAGATTTCTCTATTGTTTAATACAACAAGAAAACGAAAACAGAAATAAATAAACTTACTAGTTGAATCCGATTCGGAAGAATCATTTAAAATTTCCATAGCCAAATCAACATAATCATTCATTTCTTTCAAGTAAATATAGGAGAGAAAGTATGGTATTATTAACAATAATGTTAATATACTGAAGCTCAACATAAACGATGACAAACAACGAGGTACAAAACGCTCGTCCGGCAATTCTGCTCTCTGCAACTATGGACACCACTTATGTCATCGAATAAATTTCTTGTCGATGACGTACGTATAAATGTTTGCATCGAATACATAGTGATGTCGTGCACATTTATTTCTTTCATTACACGTAAACATATATAAATAGATACGTCAGAACGGATATTCGTCTGTGAAGACAACATATATAGTCAATACAATATACTTTTAGTTATAATATAACTAAAGAATAGATGAATAAAAGGATTAACAAAAAAAAACAATTTATAATTATTCGGAAGAATGATCGATATTTCAGAGTATCACAAAGACAATAAAGCAAATACAAAAATAGCGTAACTTGATATGTTTATAATCGTATTTATCAAATATTGAGAATGAAAAAGAAACAACGAATTCGATAAATGTCAGTAACAATCATGGAGGTCAAATTATGATCTATTTGATATTTTGTAAAATTTACAGAATGAACATTAAAGAATATCATGAGGTTGGCAGTCTAGACTACTGTCACTATTCTTAGATGAAATATAGCCGTAAGGTAAAATTGAAAAGATAAGCACAGCAAAAAATTAATCGCACATCAGTGTACCAGTTGTGATATAGTACAGATAAAAGTGAAGGATAAATATTCTATTAATGTATACTGATATTTCGTTATTTATTACTGCTAATCCTATTCTAGAAATGTCTGTTTTTGCAATAGGATAAATAGGATATTTAAATGGCGCTTACAATGATCGCAGGGGTTATTTTTCTTTGTTTTGGTTTTTATTTAAAGATTTTTTATTCATCGTAAAAATGAAACAATCGATTTCTGTGCAATCAATCAAAAGTCATTTTTATAATAAAACTCATATGTGACGTATAGAATGTTTGTTCTGTCAGCTTTGCACAATAAATACATCCGTTCGATTTGCATACTTTGATAGATTTACCATGAAATGGTCGATTCTCTCAAGAAACATAAATAAATATAACCTTGAAAGCTTGTCGGAGCCAAATCAGTATTTTTTACGATAAATTAAAAAGAGAAAAAAAAACACCAAACATATACTTAGTATAGAATAATATAAAAGACAGAGTGGGTTTCTATTAGAACTAATAGACGGCTTTTCATGATTAATAAGCTGACAGCAAAGCTTTTCCTTTTATCGAGTTTTCTTCTTTATTTCACAAGACGAGAAAAGACTATGCAAAAGCGAGATTTTCGATGAACAATACAGAAAGCGTATTCTGTTTTGTTTTATTGATAATAATCTTACCATATTGAACAAATACTTGAACAATAGATATTGTAAAAAAAAGTATTGTTATACGATTCCAATTCTGTTTTGTTGTACTAATCATAATCATAATTA